AAGTGATTTCCTCTTTTTTCTCTTTTCGGATACAGGCACATATTCTTAATCTTCTCCAAGCCTAATTCCACTAATGGTAACCAAGGACCTCAGAAAGCAGCATGGTAGAGAATCCCATATAGACTATTAACAGATTCAGAGCAAAATATACACAGGAATTAGTTAGATGTTGGTAGGTCTAGTAATACATTTTGGTGTTACCTTTGTATAACCTAACTAAACAAAAGCAAAGAAAAAGGATTTTTTTAAACTATGGGAATCGCTGTCCTTTGGGAATATTATAACTATCTATCCACAGATTACTAAAAAAACTGCACTGGCAAGCCACACCTCAATCTTCACAAAATAATCGAAGTTTAAAAAAATAGACAAAAAGACACACACACACACACACAAATAGACAATACCACATTTAAAAAATAAATTTATTAATGCAACCAATTTAATTATTAATGTCTGCTCTTAAACAAAAAGCCAATCAAAAATATACATTCTGGACAAATTCTAGCCACAAATTTTAAACTAGATGAGGGATCACTTCTGTATTCCATTCATCAATCACCTAGTAAGGCTTCCCTAAGGAAAAAGATCAAGCTATTTCAAGTACTTTTGATTAACACAAGTCAAAATTCATTATCACCAATTCCCACCAATGGAAAAGACAGTGGCTTTATATTTTGACCGGGCACCAGTTTATAATTGTTACTGATGGCAGTAAACAGGGCAAGGATTAAAGGGCAGGGAAGCCTCTAATCTAGTTCAGGCTGTGTCACCGGAAAATCTGGCCTGAGAACACAAGAACAAAATATTTCTCTGAAGAAATTAGGTCAAAGGGAAAGAGAAACAGCGACAAAAAAACATTCCTCTTTGCTTATTCCTCATTCCTCTATGAAGGGTTGCTTAAATTCTACCTGATATTTGCAATACTGTTTTACACTGAAACACATTCAACATACAACCAAGTTCAACTTATCAAAATGCTATTTCAGAAAAACAAGTAAACAAACATTGTAATGCATACTTTTTACTCCTAATAACAAGGGGCAAAATCTGATTTTGTTAAATTTTCAGGGGATAAATAAACCTCACTTGAAATGATTACTACAGGTATTCTATATTCCTTTACAAACAGAATACTGATGCCAATAAACATGCTTGTATAGTATATCAACAACAGATGAAAGATTACCTTAGTAAAAACTTTTTCAGGATATTTGTTTAAATGAAAGTTCTTCATAATCCTGAAAAAGTTTTAGGGTCAAAGATAAAATCTCCAAACCACTGCATAAAAGTTTATCCTCACTCTATGAGACAGATAATTACAGTAAGCCTTCAAAAAGTATTATATACATAAAAATAAAAACTAAAAGCTCCATCCAAAAATAACTGTTTAAATGAAGTACAAAAACAGGCAAAACCAATATCCAGTGATGAAAGTCAAGGTAGTGGTTACATTCAGAGAAAAGAGGTTAGTGACTGGGAAAGAACATGAGGGAACCTTCTGGGGTGCTGTGAATATTGGTATGTATATCCATCACACTGTACACTTAGAATCGATGCATTTTCTTTCCTTGTCTGTATATAAATTATACCTCAATTTCCCCCTTAAGTTAAATAAGAAAGAAATTTTTTAAAAATCCCAAGAAAAGCCCAAAATAAAAAATCCCACAACCAAAGGCTCTACCTTAAATAAAACTAGGGACACTATTCATAAAGTTATTTTTTAAAAGGGCAAACAAAAATTAATATATATCCTTATAATCAACAATCTTAGATATTATTTAAATTTCTGATGATTTTCTCAATACTCATAATGGGACCAACAGAAATGGTATTTTATTTCAACAAAGTCAGTCAAGCAACAGTGGTACCACTATAAGAAAACATAAAAATCACTATAAACATATTTGTGAGATGAAATATGTACAGGAAGATCAATGAGCTAAGAACAGCTTTTACATTTAAAAAAATGACAATGATAGTTAATGAAACTCAAATTTCAGTGTCAGACACAAAACTTGATTGGAATACAGCCAATTTCACTCCTTTACACTGTCTATGGTCGTTTTTGCATGGTAACAACAAAGGAGGAAATTCACAACAGAGACCATATGGCCCATAAAGTCTAAAATATTTATTATTTGGTCTTTATAGTAAAAGTTAACTGACTCCTATATAGCATTTAAAAATAAAGAACTACCCATAGGATAAGAAAAATATTTGCAAATCACGAATCTAGATAAGGGCCCAGTATTCAGAATAAAGAACTCTTCCACCACAACAATAAACAGATAACCCACACACACACACAAAAGAAAAAGATAACCCAACCTAAAAATGGACAGAAAGTGTAGTCTTCTCCAAAGAAGACATACAAATAGTCAATAAGCACATGAAAAGATATTTAACATCTAGTCATTAGGGAAATGTAGATCACAACCATGATGAGCTATTAATACCACTTCCTATTCCTATGATGGCTATAATAAAAAAAAAAAGACATAAATGTGGAGGATGTAAAGAAATTAGAACCCTTATAACCTACCTTGTTAGTGGGGTTGTAAAATGGGACATCTATGTGCTGTAAAGTCACTCAGTCATGTCCCACTCTTTGTGACCACACAGACTGTAGCCCCCCAGGCTCCTCTGTCCATGGAGGTTCTCCAGGCAAGGATACTGGAGTGGGTTGCCATTCCCTTCTCCAGGGGATCTTCGAAACACAGGGATAAAACCCGGGTCTCCCATATTGCAAGTCAATTCTTTTCCATCTGAATGACCAGGGAAGCCCAAGAATACAGGAGTGGGTAGCCTATCCCCTCTCCAGGGGATCTTCCTGACCCAGGAATAGAACTGGGATCTCCCACATTGCAGGCAGATTCTTTACCAGCTGAGCTACCAGGGAAGCCCTTATACTTTGTTAGGAACATCTACAGCAGTCCCTTAAAAAGCTAAACAGTTACCATCTCACCCAGCCATTCCATTCCTCAGCATATAGCCTGCCTCTTGGGGCTCGTCTCAACACAGCTTAACCATTAATAATTGTTTATCAATTAAAATTGAGCCAGGTGGCTCAAATGGTAAAGAATTCACCTGCAATGCAGAAGACCCAGGTTCGATCCCTGGGTCGGGAAGATACCCTGGAGAAGGGAATGGCAACCCACTCCAGTATTCTTACCTGGAGAATTCCATGGACAGAGGAGCCTGGTGGGCTACAGTCCACAGAGTCACAAAGAGTTGGACACGACTGAGCAACTAACACACACAAGCAAAACAAAGAAGGAAAGAGTTTTCTTATTTTTTTTTTTAATTATCTTATACCATAATAGTTCAAAGCATTACTAGTCCAGGGGAGTTTTAGTATCTGGTGACTATAAGGAAGACTATTGTAAGTTCAGGGAAAAAATAATTCTGATGTATATAAGGCATAATGTATATATTTCTGTGCAATTTATGATTTATAGAAAAGGCAGGGAAAAAGAAGAACAGAAGTAATACTTACACACAAAGGTCTCTACGTGTGTGCATAAGTCGCCACATTTAGGACAGCGAAGCTGGTTTCCACCTTTCCCAGAATTCCCAGAGCCTGATTTCTTACTGCTTCCCTCACTTGCTGATTTCTAATGTTTGTGCAAGAAAAGAAAAAGTCTCAATTATTACTTTCAGGCAACCACTATGTAGCTTTAAGTTTGTATTTAAATATATGTTTATATTGTTTGTAATTAATATTATAAAAAAACCAGTTCTAGTAAAAACATATATTTACTGTTTCCCTTCTTTACATGGTATGATCCAGCATGTAAAGCATGTATAATAATTAGCTTTTTTTCAATGACAGTAAATACTAGAGGGAAAAAAAATCAATAAGCACTAGTAACTAAAAAACTTACTATGAAATTGAATTGAGAGTTATTACCATGACAAGTAGTGACTCAACTTTCTTAAATCTAACTTTTGTCATCTCTCAAAAAAAAGGGGGGGGGTGATCATTTCACCTACTTTAGAGGGGCACTGTTAGGATAAGTGTGTATATGAAAACACCCAGCATTTTGTCTCACACATATTAATAACTCAAGTGTTAGTCAAATTTGCATAATAAAAAACATGATTATTCACTGACCTAATAAAGTTACCAATCATTTACTTCCTAGCCACAGAGTTCAGTTCAGTTCAGTCACTCAGTCGTGTCAGACTCTTTGCGACCCCATGGACTGCAGCACGCCAGGCCTCCCTGTCCATCACCAACTCCCAGAGTTTGCTCAAACTCATGTCCATTGAGTCAGTGATGCCATCCAACCATCTCATCCTCTTCCGTCCCCTTCTCCTCCAGCCTTCAATCTTTCCCAGCATCAGGGTCTTTTCAAATGAGCTACAGAGTAGCCCACCATTAAGTCATACAGATATCCAAGATTTTTAGCTAGAGGATGAAGTAAGGTTTATATTATCATGAGTTTTAAGAGCTGCGTTGAAGCAGAAAAGGATGGCTATTCTTAATTCAACCAACCATCAGACTGACTACATACATTATTTAATGAAGCTTCTTTACTGTGTTGGGGTGTTAGAAATTTTAATTACTGCTGACCAATGAAATGCTTATCAAATAAGTTTATGGTTCAGGCTGATACATGAAATAAAAATACATAAAATTCTTCATATCATTTTATATTTCCTACAGAAAACATGGGCTTCCCTGCTGATTCAGCAGCAAAGAATCTGCCTGCAATGCAGGAGACACAGGTTTGATCCCTGGGTCGGGCAGATCTCCTGGAGAAGGGAATGGCAACTCACTCCAATATTCTTACCTGGGAAATGCAGGAGAGAGTCACCTGGTGGGCTACAGTCCATGGGGTCACAAACAGTGGGATACAACTTAGAAACCAAACAACAACAAAAACATATAACCAATGAAATACAGAGTACTATTATATTTATTTAAATGAGAACTATTATATTTGTTTAAATGAACTAAAATATGTATATAGATGCCAATAAAGATAAAATACCTTATTTCCATCTCCAGAGCCATCTTTACTTATCCCATCTCTTGAGGCAAAGTATGCTGGTGTTTCTGTAAAAGCTCTAAAAGGAGCTCTTCGTAGAACCTGAGTTTCAAAGGTCCCAAGCCTTCCTAAAACCGGTATATGAATACGACTACAAGAAATACCTGAAAATACAATGAAATTTATTTAGTCTACACATCAAACATTAACATGCCTTCAATAAATCCCCTGGAAACAAAAATCCCTTAAGCAAGGAAGTTGAAAAAGTTAACAGTTTTCACAGCAATAGTACAAAGACACCATCCTCAAAAACTGGCAAGACCTGTGCTTTAGAAGTGAGGAAAGAACAGAGACAACAATTAATGGCCCTTTCAACGTGTGAGAGATAAGTAGTTCAACACTCGCCTCACTTGTAGGGGAACAAGGGCACTTATGTTCTACAGTATTATATGTCTTGTATCTACCAACAAGAACAAACAAAATGTAAACAAATAGGTGTCTGGATCTGTTCTATGGGATCATAGTTTGCGGACTCCTGCTTCTCTGCATACAAATACAAAATAACCCCCCATATAAATTATAGTCAATGGCAAAAGAGCCATACTCCAGACTGTGAGGCAGTTATTTCCCAAGTTGGTCTTTAAAAGACTGCTCCCCCCCAAAAAAATAAATAAAATAAATAAAAGACTGCTCTCTACACAAGAAAATTGAATGGTCATAAGTTAAACAAAATTCCACAGACCTCAATACCCTAGAGCTACTTAGAATCTTGCAAAAGCTAATAATGTACATTGGCCATGAAGCAAGTTTCCCAGCAGTTTACCAGACTGCTATTAGGAGGTAATTAAACAACACTGGGGGCGAGGCCGCCGGTGGTGGTGGTGATGATGAACACTTAAATAAATTTAAGAAGCTGATTTTGCCTCCCTCATTTTATTCCCTGCACAATTCACAACTCAGGATTTAATTTCTACACTTGTTACGGCTTTTTAAAAGATACACTCTTGTATATGTTGTATTCAAATGCAAAAACTGGTTTTAAATTATGTAGGTAAAACAATTCAAAAACAATTGCTTAGTTATACAACTCCCTCCCATTTTCCAACTCATTTTACACTGAATAACTTATCACCGTAGGCCATCTCAAATTCCACAAAGCACAAAAATGAACCCACCAAATTACTCAGCAAAGATACAAACAAGAGGAAAAAAATTTTCATTTCTATATAAATTCACAAAGAACACCAAAAAAGGATTATGACATCCCAGTCCCTAACCCAAAAAGTGTAAAATGTCAACACTATTAAGCTTGAATATTGAGGGGAAAAAAATTTGATGCATTCCTTATAAGTAACATTTTCAAGACATTTCAAATTTTCTCAAGTGTAACATTTCCATGTTTTGCAATAAACTGTGTTAGCCATTACTCTCTCATTGGTGATGCCACTGAGTCGGTGATGACTCAATGGACATGAGTTTGAGTAAACTCCGAGAGCTGGTGATGGACAGGGAGGCCTGGTGTGCTGCAGTCCATGGGGTCGCAGAGAATCGGACACGACTGGTGACTGAACTGAACTGACTCTTGTTAGAGAGATACAGTTTATGAAATTTAAGCTAAACATTAATGTTTTTTTAAGGACATAGTATGATTTAAAGACTATGTCCCTCTAAAAAGCAAGTTTAGACAGTTATGGGGGAGAGGGATAGATGAAATCAAGAATGCAGAAAGCTGAATGTACCTTGGGGCTGGGTATTTGGGGGTTCAGTGTTCTATTTTGTGTGTGCTTGAGAACATCCATTAAATGAAAGATAGCATAATACAATAATTTACTATAATCTATGTAACAAGTGTCATTTTTTAACTGAATTTTCATGATGTATTCACAAAAAAACCCCACAATTATAACAACCTTTATATTTGTACTTGGATGTTATATTTGTACTCATGTTTAGAACAAAATTTATACCTGAAGTTTCACATATAGTGTATTATTTTCCACTTATATCTTTTAAAATAGTATTTAACAATGTACAGTATCTAATACTATTAGAAAATAAGCTGAAAGGAAATTATCTTTGGGAATTTAAGAGAAGTAAAAATTATGAACATGATTCTTTTAAAATCTACTTGAATAGAAAGAAAAATAAGTCCTTCACTTGAAATAACTTATGAGGTAACATATGAAACCAAACTACACAGTCACCACAGAAAATAAAATTTAAAAAACATGTTCATGTCATTTAGACTTCTAAATTTAAGAATTTCTTTGCTGGCCCTGATAGTATGGTACTGAAGTGGTGTTTTAACATTCTATAATCTAAGGGCTACACCAACATGATGCTGTAAATACTAAACCACTGGTTCCCAAACTTGGGCATGCATTAGAATCACCTGGAGGGCTTGTTAAACCACAGATTGCAGAGGATCTTCCCTAGTTCTGATTGAGAGGGTATGAGGTGGGACCCAAGAATGCATTTCTAACAAGTTCCCAGATGATGCTGATACTGCTGGTTTGAGGACCACACTTTTTAAAACCACTGTACAAAACAAGGTAAATGACCAGTCATTCACCAATCATACAACATCTTCACAGAAAGCACTGCAGCAAACCAATCAGGAATTTTTAACCCTTTTTTTTTTGGTCCGCTGGCACGCTGGTAAAGCCTATTCAGAACATTTTTAAATGTACAGAATAAAATATATAGGAACCCAATCATTCTGAAGTAGTTATCAATATACTTTTAAAAAATGCTTCTTAACAAAATTAAACAAGATCTAACAGCTTTTAAAATAACGATGATTTCAAAGGAGTGGAAAGTGTAAACAACACTTTGGGCTATCAGCAATGTAACGTGAAACGAAAACATCTGTGATTTTGACTGGTGACAATTCCACAGGTATTGCTACTACTACTACAGTTTCTCACCTATATTTATAACTGAAGGAAATGCTACATTTCACCCAGAGACTAGTGAAAACAAAGTTCAAAGAACCTCTGAATTTTACCCCTGGGCCTTTTGGAAGCCTGTGAACCCAGATGAAGAGTACCTAAAAGCCAAACAAGGGAAAGTATTTATGTGAAGTATATTTCAAAAGACTACTTGGCAGTAATGACAGAAGACAGTTAAAAGTTAAACCACTTACAAACTTCTGTCATAAAGATAAAGCTCTGAGTTTCAGAGCAGCTGTTTTTTTTAAAAAAAAAATATCTACTAGAATAAGGTATAATGATTTTAGGGCTTTTAAGAACAGGAAAATATTTTATTCAGTTTCTAAATACTTAACTTCCTATACTCACTCTTAAACTAAGCATTCTCCAAAAACACACCAATGATTCAACTTAAAAGATAAACTGACCTTTAACTTGCATTTTAGAAACAGAGCGAAAGAACTAATGAAAATTTAAACCTAGCTATTTGTGGTGACATATTTAAGTGTTTAACAGCTTATGAAATGGCAAATCAAGTTGGATGCTCTCTTAAACACTTGACCCCTAACACAAATTGGAAACAAAATTCAACAAAAACTCACAGTGCTCGCAATTTAGTAGATACTTACTGCTCTTAATAATCTCAACTTTTTATGTCCAAGTTATTACTTCAGGAATTCTGAATACTTATTAAGAAAAACAACATGACTCCTATAACAGCTTTCCTTAAGTTTAAAAATATTTGACAGGTTTTCACTAACACTACTAATCCACTGGTCTGAAGGTGAACATGCCCAAGAAAAGAGAAGTGACTAGGAAATAGTGTGTATAGGAAATAAAGATGTTCTATCTTCATTTTGTCTTATTTAATCTATATTGGATTTAATCACAAGACTGGGAGGGAACTAAAATCCACCTAAAAACTATTAAGTTAGGCACATTATGTAACTATCATGAGAATTATGGATGCCAATCAACAAGTTTGAGCATCTTCAAATCTTCATTTACAACCTTATGAGGTGACACCCTTTCAATGGACAAGAACAGAAAGCATCCAGAAATCAAGAGTTATACAGAATCGCACAACTCTCACAGCCAAATTCAGATCAAGTATTGTTACTGAGGATTTTTTAAATGGAATCAAACATTTTTGAATGCACATACTTAACATGCAAACTGACTGTTATATATGATAAGTACATTTTAAAAATACATACACCAAAAAAAAAAAAGACATACACCAATGCTGAAAACACCAGCAATTTGAGCAAAAAAATATTAAAAATTTTTACGTTTATATTTCATATTCAAAGAAAACAGTGAAGAAAATATTAAATTGGATATATATAGCCCAACAGGAAAACAGCTCCAGTGTCTAATATGACAATTTATCAAGTAATTTTTCAAACTACCATTTAAAATTTTTAAAGTATAACATGACAGAAAAAAAAAATTCTCAAAAAAAAAAAAAGACACATAAAGCAACAGAAATAGAGAACAGCACTGTACTTCAGAGGAGTTATGACATCTCCCCTTCTATTCTTAAATCACTTTACAATTTCCTGTTAGAAGACTATATTGATGAAATTATTTAATTATGTTGCTGAAATTCTTAACTCTAATTATAAGAATACACTAGTTAAAGTTCAGTTCTAATTTTTCTATCTTTCACTCTCTTCCTCTTTCCAGGAATTCTAAATAAAAATAACCTTCTTGGAGGTTTTTCAGGCTTAAAAAAAAAATTTTTATATTTTTGTAAACTTATGTATAGAGTTTCTACCATGGAAAACAAACATTTTATGTAATTAAGCCTTGGGAAACTCTCAAATCCATGTGAAAACCATTTGATGTTTCATCGTCACATAAAAATATTAAATTCTACAATGATATTGGGTAATATCTAACATTTTAAGTTTAATTTACTCCTTTACAGTAAATGCTATGGTTTGGTATTTCTGAAAAGCCCTAGTAAACTTGTATTAACTGAGAAACAAAGAGATAATTCCTAAATAAGCCATTAATTCTTTACTTACCTAAGGAGAGATTTAATTTTTTAAATTAATTTTTATTGGAGTATAGTTGCTTTACTAAATTTAATTTTTAAAGGAGCTGTTGCTTTGAAAAGAAAAATAAACAACTGCACACTTCCTATAATTCAGTTTTCAGGGACAATTGATAGAAATGAAGACTTTTGTCAAAAGGAGCCTTCCTACCCAAGGAGAACGCCCACATATTTCATACAGGCCCAGAAACAATATTATTCTTTGTCTAGTTCTCTAAACTTGAAGGTAAAGACTTATTCCGCCCTCCATCTCCAGCACCAAAACAGGGCCTGGCACACAGGAGGCTGTCAACAACTGTGTCAGATAAATGAATTCAACTATTTGTCACTTTCAAGTGTTTGCAACTCAAAATTGCTAAAATATGGATGTCTACTTGTTCAGGTTTAACAAAGTCTGGGGACTAAATTCACTCCTTTACATTTACATACCATTTTAGAAAATGCTTCTGCCCACACAACCTCATCTCATCCCTGCGTGAAATAAACTGTCAGAAAATAAACATTTAGTAAACAGTAAGGATTTTACAATGATGTTAAATATTAGGAATAGGGGGCTTCCCCCCTCCGCCCCGAGATCACAAGCTGATAATCCAAAACAAAACGAATTTGCCTAGAACTTAGTGATTGAAACAGGATCTAGCCTGTTGGCAGCTACTTATTTAGGGAAGAGAAAAAATGGTTTCTTTTCTGGAATCTCTTGGCTGGGGTACCATCCTTTCGCAGCTCCTGATAAACAGAAAGGAAAGGTAAACAAGCGCCACCCTTCAAAAACTATTTCCGACTGTCAAGTTAGGAAACCCGGCAAACGACCGCTGAGACACCCAAGTACTTCAAAAACAAGCAGAGCAAACCGGCACCTCCTCAGACGCTTTCCCGCGGCCGCCCAGAAACAGCACGAGTCCGGCTTACGTCCCGGCGTGGGCGGCCGCACAATGACTGTGACATCCCGGGCCTCGCGCGGCCTGCGCCTGGGACGGCCGGGTCGGCGCCCCGAGGCCCCAGGGGACCCCCAACAGTGGCAGCTTTCCATCCGAGCCCTTCCCGCGGGGCTCGANCCGCTCCCCCCTCCCCGCCCACCGAGCCCCGGGAGCGTGCGCGCGCCTGCGTCCTAGGTCTCGGGAGGGGCGTGGGCACGCTTCGCGCGTGCGTGGGACACCGGTGTACGGCAAGGGGAAGGGGGCGGTGACCTGGGCTCCAATGAGCAGGCTGCTAAGGCAGGCGGCCGACCCCAACTGGGGAACTACTAGTCCCGACAAACGATTCTTCCGGAAGTCTCCAGAGTAGAAAAGTTTGCTATGGAAGCGGAGAGATGCATTCTGGGAGTTGTAGTCCCAACTCGTCGCAGTGAACTGGTCTATTTTCGACTCTTGGCTGGGAAGGTCACAGTGAAGCCGGCGGCTTGACCGGCCTCGAGAAGTCTTGAAAGCCGTCAATTCAGTAAGAGTCGAGAAGTTCCTTCTTCCGAGGGTTCCACATCCTTATCCTTAGGGACACGGAAGTAGTGGCATTTTTTTACTAAGTTCTCAAGCCACTGTTTGATGACAGCTCTCTTTCCTTGTTTTTTCAAGCCTAGTGGTGATAACTTCCAGCCGTTGCTAGTCCCGGGGTTCTTTACAATCGTCTGTCTGTCCCCTTAAAGCTGAGCACACTTTGGTAAACACTTCATTCAGCTCTCTTCTGTTACCCTTCCACCCCTGCGTGTGTGTGGCTGCTTTCTCTCTGTATATCTAAAGCAAATCAACCAGCTAACTGACAAGGTGCAGGATGGTGACAAATGAATCAGACCCTTTTCCATCCGTGTGGGCACCAGACTACTTTGTATATAAGATTCTGATCAACTCCGAAGCCTGGAGAAATTGCCAAGTGAGCTTGGACATCTTCAGTTCTGAGCTGGGGGAGGAGGGTGGGGAAGGAGAGTAGCAGGAGGACGACACGCAACTCAGAGGCAAAGTTATTTAACCATCATCAGTCTTGGATCAGAGAAATGTGACTTACAGTTCCCCAGTCTGGCCATGAGAAGGGGCACTGGCCCAGGCCACATGTGATTTTTGTCTCTCTGGGTGCTAACTCCTTGTACTCCTTCAGCTTAAAGTGACAGAGATCAAAAGCCCAGGTCTTAACTCCGCTGCCTTCATGAATAGAATTTTCAGAGAGTATAGACTCTAAAGTTCCTTCATCCCACTGTTTTCAAACTGTGTTTCTAGAATTCCCTCAGAAGCCAAAGCTCTTTGTGGGTGTGAGGGGACTAAGAGAGTGGAACTCTCCAAACACTCCTTCAAGCCACTGCCGAAGTCAATCAGAGCAGATCTGCTTTAATAAACTGTTTAATTTATTGAGGTTTTGCTTGAAAACACAGTTGTTCTGCTTTAAAACAATATTTGAAAACCACTGATTCTAGGACAAACTTCTTTTAGCAGTAAGCTAAGTAGGTCTCCTGGAATCTTTAACACCCAATTTAATCCTTTCATTCCACTCTACCTTCTATTTCAATTATATACACATTTTCTCATTATTATATAAAGAAGTTGTTTGCTAAAATTTATATATTGCTATAAAGCAAGATGAATAAAAGCATTGGTTAGGCCAGGTCTCATCTGGGGCACCCTATGAAAACTTCCCTTTCTCTGTCTGTTCTAAGGACTTGACTTATTCAGTCAGCAAATATTTATTGAGCACCAGTTACATGCCAGACACTGGGGAAATTGCACTGAAGAAAACAAAAATGTTTCGTGGAGCTTCTAGTGGGGAAAAATAAGATGGTACGTAAACAAAAATATGTGACATTGCTATGATGACATAGTTCAGTTCAGTTCAGTCACTAAAGTCGTGTCCAACTCTTTGCGACCCCATTGACTGCAGCACCCCAGGCTTCCCTATCCATCACTAACTGCCGGAGCTTACTCAAACTCATGTCCATCAATTCGGTGATGCCATCCAACCATCTCCTCCTCTATCATCCCCTTCTCCTGCCTTCAGTCTTTTACAGCATCAGGGTCTTTCCCAGTGAGTCAGTTCTTCATATCAGGTGGCCAAAGTATTGCAGTTTCAGCTTCAGCATCAGTCCTTCCAATGAATATTCAGGACTGATTTCCCTTAGGATTGACTGGTTGGATCTCCTTGCAGTCCAGGGGACTCNTTCCTATTTGGAACCAGTCTCTTTTTCCATGTCCAATTCAAACTGTTGCTACTTGACCTGCATACAGATTTCTCAGGAGGCAGGTAAGGTGGTCTGGTATTCCCATCTCCTTCAGAATTTTCCACAGTTTATTGTGATCCACACAGTCAAAGGCTTTGATGTAATCAATAAAGCATAAGTAGATGTTTTTCTGGAACTCTCTTGCTTTTTCAGTGATCCAGTGGATGTTGGCAATTTAATCTCTGGTTCCTCTGACTTTTCTAAATCCAGCTGGAACATCTGGAAGTTCACGGTTCATGTACTGTTGAAGCCTGGCTTAGAGAATTTTGAGCAGTACTTTACTAGCATGTGAGATGAGTGAAATTGTGCAGTAGTTTGAACATTCTTTGGCATTGCCTTTCTTTGGGATTGGAATGAAAACTGGCCTTTTCCAGTCCTGTGGCCACTGCTGAGTTTTCCAAATTTGCTCGCATACTGAGTGCAGTACTTTCACAGCATCATCTTTTAGGATTTGAAATAGCTCAACTGGAACTCCATCACCTCCACTAGCTTTGTTCATAGTGATGCTTCCTGAGGCCCACTAGACTTCACATTACAGGTTGTCTGGCTCTAGGGGAATAATCACACCATCATGGTTATCTGGGTCATGAAGATCTTTTTTGTATAGTTCTTGGATATATTCTTGCCCACCTCTTCTTAATATCTTCTGCTTCTGTTAGGTCCATACCATTTCTGTCCTTTATTGTGTCCATCTTTGCATGAAATGTTCCCTTGGTATCTCTAATTTTCTTGAAGACATCTCTAGTCTTTCCCATCCTATTGTTTTCCTCTATTTCTTTGCACTGATCACTGAAAAAGGCTTTCTTATCTCCTTGCTATTCTTTGGAACTCTGCATTCAAATGGGTATATCTTTCCTTTTCTCCTTTGCCTTTAACTTTTCTTCTTTTCTCAGCTATTTGTAAGGCCTCCTCAGACAACTATTTTGCCTTTTTGCATTTCTTTTTCTTGGAGATGGTCTCGATCACTGCCTCCTGTACAATGTCACGAACCTCTGTCCGTAGTTCTCCAGGCAGAGACTCCGTCTATCAGATCTAATCCCTGGAATCTATTTGTCACTTTCACTGTATAATCATAAGGGATTTGACTTAGGTCATTTCTGAATGGTCTAATGGTTTTCCCTACTTTCTTCAATTTAAATCTGAATTTTGCCATAAGGAATTCATGATCTGAGCCACAGTCAACTCCCGGTCCTCTTTTGCTGACTGTATAGAGCTTCTCCATCTTTGGCTGCAGAGAATATAATCAATCTGATTTCGGTGTTGACCATCTGGGGATGTCCATGTGTAGAGTCTTCTCTTGTGTTGTTGGAAGAGGGTGTTTGCTCTGACCAGTGCGTTCTCTTGGCAAAACTCTGTTAGCCTTTGCCCTGCTTTGTTTTTGTACTCCAAGGCCAAATTTGCCTGTTCCTCCAAGTATCTCTTGACTTCCTACTTTTGCATTCCAGTCCCCTGTAATGAAAAGGACATCTTTTTTGGGTGTTAGTTCTAGAAGATCTTTATAGATCTTGTGAATCTTCATAGAACCATTCAGCTTCAGCTTCTTCAGCTGAAGGTGGTGACATTCTTCATCATAGAAATAAAATCCTGTTTTGTAATGTATTCTTCTATCATTCTCAGAACAACTGAGTATTTAATTTTATTTATGGGCTGAAGTTTTGTGTACTTAGCCTGTATTCCCAACTGTACTATGAGTCTTTGAAGGCAGGTATTTCACTGTATACATGGGCTGAATATACAGTATAAATTCAGTAAATACTTGATTAAGTAGTTATCTTCCAACTTCTTTAGCTTGGCAGAAAGCTGGGATGGTGTCTTCAGAAAATATGTTGTTAAATCAAAGCAAATTATAATTGACAATAAAGATGTTAATAGATAGAAATTACAACTTATACAATGGTTGATCCAACTGATTGAATATCCCAGAAGGAATTCTTAGAAATTAATAGAGTAGACTTTGTCCCAGAAAGTACAAAACAAGCAGAGCTGTATACAGTTTAGTTTAATTTTTTCTCAAATGTGAGCAAAGGTCATGTGGCTTTGGCATCAGACTGGTAATGGTTTCATCACACACGCCACGTTTATTTGGTAGTTTCAACCCCAAACTATGCTCTGTGGGTCAAAATGTACCAGAATTTTTAGGATCAGCCCTCAACAAATCCACTCCTTGGATTGGGACACGAACTTTGTGTTAGGTTCTTTGATGGTATAAATCTTACGAAGTGAAGCGAAAGTCACTCAGTCCTGTCTGACTCTTTGTGACCCCATGGACTATGGCCTGCCTGTCAGGCTCCTCCATCCATGGAATTCTCCAGGCCAGAATCCCGGAGTGGGTAGCCATTCCCTTCTCCAGGGGATCTGCCCAACCCAGGGATTGAACTCAGGTTTCCTCATTGCAGGTGAATGCTTTACCATCTAAGCCATTATTCAAATTGAGAAACTTATACACGAGGATATAACAGGACTTCCATTTGGTACTTAAGCACAGGAGAATGTTGAGTTTAAACAAAGCATCATCTGTGCTAGAAAGGGTTCGAACCTTAAAGGAACCACTTGACTATGATAAAGGCGTCTGTTCCAAGTGTTCCAAGAGTTAAAGGCGTCTGTTCCAAGTGTTCCAAGAGTCTGTTCCTAGTCACACCCTGGAACAAAGACATTGTCCTAACCTGTGTGAGTTTCAGGCTGGGACAATGTTTTTGCCCCAGGGTGTGACTAGGTAGCCCTGAGATGGAGCAGAGCCATGAGAAAGAGCATAGGGGCTCTAGATCCATAGTAGGACCCTTCTCTCTCACTTGGTATTTTCCAGATATCCTCTGGTCAAGTTTCTATAAGGCTACCCTCCCAAATCTGGATTTGGAGGCACAAAGTTATTTGAGATTTTCCCTGTGGCAATACAGATCTTCTGTCAGGAAAATGATGGCAAGTACTTGTGGCCTTATCAGCTCTTTGGAACAAAGTATTTTCATATCATATCAACTTTCAGCACTTTTCTGGTAGGCTTATGTTGCTTTAAGACAGTCAAATACAAAGTAATGAATGGCTGTGTTCTTGTTTTCTAATGGGAAAAGATTCATTTTGTACTTAAAGTATCTAGGTTGTTCCAAAATGTGAAAGAGGATAGTGAAGGACAAACTTGAATAGGAAAGCTGTAGAAGATTTGGGAAAGGGAAATTTATTTGTCTTGGACTATAATGATTGCAAATAATAGTCTAAAAATATGCAATGAAATATTAAAATTTTGCCGAAGCTGAAAAAAAGAGAAGAAAGTCAAATGTTATTTTCCAGCTCAAATAGTTTCACTTGAGTTGACTTCTTGAGTTATTTACCTTTTGTGAACTACATGACTAAAGGCACATAATATTTTATGTCTCCACTTTACATTAACTTTTTCCTTTTATACTTGATTCTACCTCACAGGATTGTAAACACTGTGACTTGCTAAGTAAAAATATTTTACAGGTTAGAGTCAGAGTCATCCAATCTAGCACTGGATTTTCAGATGAGGAGAGGCCTATGAAAAACCAGGGATTTGACAAAGGGCACATACTGAGTCAGAAGCAAAGAGAGAAATAGAGCCCAAGTCTGCTGATTTTAAAACTGTGTTTTTCAGTGTTTTCCTTTTTAACCCAAGGCTCCTTTTTATAAACAGAAAAAAATCTTCTCTTCTACCAGAGATTGTCATACAGCCTCTCAGAGAGTCATCATTCAGTTGAGAATCACTGTATCTTCTGAATAATGACATTTCTTTTTCATAGCTGAACACCTATCCTTCAGACTAGCAGACATTGATCCTGCCAGGCAATAACAGGAACTCAAAATGTATATTTTAAAAGATAAAGACAAAAAAAAAAGGCTCATGTCTATAAGTAGTATGAGACTCAAAGTAATACTAAGAACATTATATAGAACTTTACAAAGTGCTTTTACATCCACCTTCTCATCAGATTCTCATAGCAACCCAGTAAGGTATTGTTATCTGCCTTCTGGTTTTGCAGCTGAGAAAATCAAGACATGGAGAGTTTAAGTGACTTGCCAAAGCAGAACCAGGATTTGCACCCTAATCTCCACTACTGTTTCCATTGCTTCCCTATATCTTCTTCCAAAAGCTGGTAAGATTTTAGAGATTCACAGAGTCGTCACTCTT